AAATAAAAATCATTGTGTTTTCATTATCTTAGAATGAGCCATTTATATCTACAGAGAGAGTGGGTCCTCGGCTATGGAAATCACCATGTTGCACAGCCATGTTTCTGCAGTCCAGAATGGACAAACTAACCACTGACTCTAGGTAGGATCATTTATGTTTCTGCATCAGCCTGCATAATAAGCAGCCCCTCCTCAACGAGTGTGGTGAAAAAACACTGATTTCTTTCTTCTTTTTTTTTTTTACTGCATTATTCTGTGTTTTTACCAGTCTAAATCACCAGATCTGTTTACTTTGAAGTGGAAGAGACTTGAGGATCATTCTGCTCCCAGCAAAAACCTCCTGAATGTCTGATACTTAAGCCAAATGGCACAGGAGAAACACTGATTTGTAACATGAAACTGCGTTATTCAGTGTTTCTTTCTGCTTAAATCAGTAGGTCCTCCTTAACAATGAACACTGAAGGAGAAGTTTCAGATGGTTGCACTCTGCAATCCTCACCATTAGATGCCACTAAATCCCCCTGAATCTAACACACTGTTCCTTTAAAGCAGGATTTACACTTCTCCGTTGAATCGACACTGTAGCCTGACGTGCACCTCCCCAGAAATGTAAACTACACGTCGCGGTGAGGCAGACCTCCTGTATATCTTTGTAAGCTGACACCATTTCCCTCAGTGGAAACAAAACTGACATTACTTTAATTATACAGATAAGAAACAATAAACTTTGAAGACAATAAAGGTTCCACAAAATTAACATTTCTTGTGTGTGATTTATCCTGGCTTTATATGGGCAGAGGAAATCTTAGTTATTTGCTAGGCTAATTTATACAATGTAAAATGCCATAGGCTGGTGCTAAAAACATTAGCATGTTGTTTTTGTGGGGAAAATGTGTCCAGATAAAGACAAGTGTTTGTCTGTGAATGCTGCGAGTTATAATGAAGCCGATTTGTGTACCTGTGTTTGAAATTGTGGCTACTAAGCCATGTTTAATGTGTTTAATATGTTTTTTGAATCGGCTAAACTTTACAACACTTCACAGAAACTCAGCCGCCGACTAGTGTTTTGGAGGTGTAACTGCAGAGTGACTCAGACACACCACCACACAATTATAAATGCTCACAATGGTGTAGGCTACAGTGTAGGCTCTGCATGGAGCTGATGGATCTTTAATACTTAGCTTTAATAGTATTTATTCAGAGGTATTATTGCCTTTTAAATGCAGTATTTACTTTGCTATGAAACCTACAGTATGTGACTGTAGGTCTAACACTATAGATGTGGAGAGGACTCCAGTACCTGGCGTAACCCCAAAACTGTCAATCAGGATCATCTGATACTTTCATACCACAACAAAATAATAAGAAGACAATTTGATATTATGGTCCAGTGTTTGAGGACAGAGCAAGAACCAATGAAAGCCAGCAAGCGGTTCCCCGTCTAATAAAACACCAACATGACTGTGGCAGCATTTCAACGAGCTCCTGAAGCCGACAACACAGCTGTGAGAGTGGAGGGACAGAAATAGCTCTTATTGAACAAAACACATGACAAAAACTATTTCAGAGCCCCATTTTGCCTCCTTGTTCAAATGATACAGCCGTTAGTGACAAAAGCTCAGGAGACAAATGCATCAGAACACAAACAAATGGAAATTAGTCACAAACACTGGTTATAAATAACACAGTGAGAAAACTGAGTTACTTTTTTTTTAATCAATCATATTCAAAAAAATATTTTCTTTAAAAGAAACAAGCCTAACTGTGTGTATGTAGAACCAGACCTCTATTTTACAGCATTGTCCAGCCATAGACATTTGCCTTACTGAAACCAAACAAAGCTCCCACATTCCCACTCCCCTCACAGTCTCCTGACACCCGCCGACTCAGCTCATACTGACTAACTACTAGGCGAGGTTCTGCAGGGCTAAGCCTGTAAAGGACTCAACATTTATTGCGCTGAATAAGGAAAACAGTCACAGTTTCCTTCTGCACCTTTCTCCTTTAATGTCACTGTGACACCCAGGTGAAACTCTGGCGGACAAGTGTGATTGTTTTACAGTGTGGAGGCTCAGTCATCTGTAACTGAGCTGTCACAACACAGGCCAAGCCCTGAACTTTCAAGCGACATTATGGAACACAAAGAGGCAAAGAGTGGTCAAACAATAACAGCCGTCTACGTCAGTGGCAGAGTTTTTGGTTCAGTGCAACAGAAGCTGCAGTCTCTCTTGTCTGCTGATTGATGTGATAAGTAGACTGACCTACTGTACCTGTCTGCCAGCAGGTTTAGCCTGTAGATGTCTACTGATCTAAACTGATCTGGCCTACTAACTCCTCTGCCTGGGCCATGTCCAGGAGAAGCAGCTTCAGTCCTTGTGAGTTTGCTCTTTCCATAAACAGCATTCCACAGAGGTCTTTGAATCTCTCTTAAGCTCTTCATGAACAGGACTAGTATTATCAGGGGACCTCATGTAATTTAGATATTACCCCCTCACGTCTGTGTTTTGTGCAGCACATTTTCATGGGATAAGCAAAGTGTGTATTTTACTTGAATTAACTGACGTCATCCTCCAGATATGATGCATGCAGTCATTTGTAACTCCACTTTACACAACACAGAAACACGACAGAAACACTAAGTTAAACAAATAGCATGTCATCCATTTCATCATCTTTAGAGATATCACTCTTCTGATAGATCTGAGCTCGCTCTTTCTGCTGTGTAGAGACATGAGCCTCCTCCACCCAAAATGCTGGCAAAACTTTCATTCATAACTGCCAATGCAACTGACCAGGAAAGAGGCGGGAACACGGCTCAGAGAAAACAAAAACAATCTAAATACAACCTCACATCACAGAGATGTCTATTCACAAGGGACCAACATTTTCACATGACCTCTGTGTTTTGCAAAATGTGGCAGGTAATTTGCGTTGGGATTTTTACTTGACAAATTACCGACATGGCGGATTTGCACAGGATTAAGATCACAGACGACCTCTGCAATCATTATAAATTACTGGAAATCCCCAGGTAATACTGGTCCCATGCGAATAGGACTTTAGTTGGTCCCCACCACCTGGTGCACATTTGTCTTATGGTGTCCAGAACCAAAGCTGCTATTACAATGAAAACAATCATCTCTGCTTTTTGAAAAGAGAGCGTTTACAAGGCACTAATGCCAAAATCAGCCCTTTGTTAAAAAAATGCAGGGGGCTGCATTTGGGGTGTGTTGCTTCTGGTACCTCTGAGACAATGCAAGTCCAGTTGGAGCTACTACTAAGGTATTACAGACATCACTATAATGGTACAACTGCTTTCCTTACACCAGCCTCATGTCTTTTAACAATATTCAGACACCAGGAGCAAAACAGCAAGTGACACACAGTATGTCATACAGCTGCATTACACAGTCATCCGTACAAGCCAGACCAGGTGAGGACTTCTGTCAATGGCAATGTAAATTGGTGTTACAGAGTTCATTAGCGGCTTCAGTCAATACAGACACTTGTGAACCCAAGGTAAGGTAAGTGGCATAAGAGAATTAATTAGAGGATGCAGTCAATGGAGACACTTTAAGCTGCTCAATGTTGGTGCCAAGTGGCTGCACTTATAAGAGCTGACACTGACAAAATTCAACATAATCATTCTGCCTTTTAGATTCACTGTAGCCACACAGCAAAGGTCTCAATTTAATATTGTCGCTTCAATGTTTAGCCGGTTATCTGCAGGAGTAAGGAGCCCTACAACTGTTACTGACCCTTACTGATATTCTATGTCCGGGGCTGACATGTTACCAATATTTGGCAGTAAAAATGTTTCATAATGATACATTGCTTTGTTCTAGTGTAAAGATATTTACCTCCATGCTTCTTAACAGCGTCTTAACATCTGACGTGACGTGCCACCCTGCCACCTCGCACGCTGAGGTATTTAAAGACAATGGAGACTTCTAAAAAAAACAATATAATGATGGCACTTTTGAAACGACATCAAGGGCTTTTTTATGTTTAGTGAACTGGAGGGATGTCTGGAACAACCATTGTTCTTTTTCTCTCTTATTGTCTTTTCACATATCAGCTTAAATACAGTTTCCAAACACCATGTACCTGCCAATATCTCAGTCTGGCTGCAGTTTTGTAGCAGTGCTGCAGTGCTGCAATTTAGTTTGACACATTGGTACTAGTATCTCACCACTGCTCCCACACACAGAATGAAACCTCAGGCCTTCCTGTTCCATGACCACCATGTCAAAAGCTTTGAAAACACATAGGACAAAATGCATCTCTTACGTAAACATGGGGCTTTAAGATATATGAACACTTAAAGGTCTAGTACAGGTCTGCTTGAATATACATTTTGGAAATTGCTCATATGCAGAAGTTCAATATTAAATATGTTAATGAAGCTGCCACTGTACAAAGGTCTTCTCATCCAACACCCGGTGCCTATTAAAACTAGCGTGATTGGTTTCACTTACTGCTCGTATGAATAATGTTTTGTACAAGTTCATGTTTACAAATAGAAGCAGATAAATCCATTTGAAACAAAACACATTCTTGAAAAGATATCAAAAACACATAAAGTTTGAGCCTCTATGAACTGTGGGTAGAAAATGGGCGAGGTAGGGGCTCGAGCATAATCAGCCTATGAGGAGCGAGCGAAACATCTAATGAATTGCCTTTCATCGGAGCACAAAAGCCTGAGGGCCTTGAGGAATGTCCCCTCTCTCTCAGAGGGACAAAGGAGGCAGGCCAGCGTCGTGGCCTCACTTGGAGGCAGCGGCGTGGAAGAATGTGCAGAGGCAACTGTTGATTTGCATCTGTTGATCGGACCTTTTTTTCTCCCCCGTCAATGTTTTCACACGGGAAAACCCAAACTGAAACACACTTGAAGCCATTTTGATGCCAGTAACTATGCCCACTGACCAACATCGTGTCAGCTGTTGTGGGGTTTCAGTGTATTGCCAAGCAGCGCCACTCGGTCAGTCGCAGGTACTTACTCATTTGTCGATCTCCGTAGCTGATGGCCTCGGCAAGGGGGCTCCATCCCTGAGCGTTCTTTACCTTCACTGGTGCATTGTGGGCCAGCAGCAGGTGTGCACACTCTGTAAGTAGGAAAGGAAGACAGTCAGATAGGTAGATAATTACTTGAATCATTACCTTGTAGGATTTACTAACAGTGTGCAAACTAAAGACCAGCACCAACAACACAACCGAGGAAACAGAGAGAAATCTCATTAAATGCATGACTCAGTAGGTGCTTCCATTAAAGATCTGTTATTTTTCATCCTAAGTCTAGCTGTTTTTGGAAGATCCCTGAAATATAACTGCAGTCTACTTATGTACATTTTAAAAAGTTCCCCAATATGTGAAAGGTGGTTCTGCATCAAACAGGTACCCCGTAAAGAAAGTGGCTTTTCTCTCTGACCACCAATTAAAATCTTGGCTGCTGCTTTCTGCTTGAACAGGAGGCACTAGAGACACATTTAATTCAGGCAATAAAAGAGAGGTGATAAAAGCATAAACGAATTCCTCCTAAGTGATAAACGCAGCCCCATTAAAAGATTAACAGTTGTTGTTTTTTTTTTTTGACCAGAGCAAAACAAGATTCTGCACCTAAGCATCAAAGGTGCCTCAGAGATGAGTCACAGGTACCATGAAATTGGTTTTCTTTTAACTAGAGAAACACAAATATAAACAGAAAAACAGATGGGACAGGAGTGATGTGGCATTTAGCAAAAATGACCTTTATTAAAGGCCAAACGCCAATGGCTGAACAAGCTCTAATGACTCTCCTCATTTGTCTTTCCAGTGTCCTGACACTACACATCCACTACCAAGCGGTAAACTGAAAAATGAAGCCAACACGAAACTGCAGTTCCTTGAATGGCCACTTGAGGCTGGCTCCAAAAGGAAGTCAATCTCCATAGACCCCCATGTCAAAAAACCCAACTTTACAGCAGAAATAAACATGTATACAGCCTGGTACAACAAATTGGTCTATCTAGCTAATTTCAACATTCAACTGCGAAAACTACGCAGGTGTGAATTTTTTTTACATAAATCACCTGTTTACATTTCTATTAAGGCTAAAAGTTTAAAAGTTACACATGTCTAAGGGCGTGATAGGCTGTCTGCAAGCCAGGCTTCATAAATTCTAAGGTTGTTTCTCAAAGTCAAGGAAAGTTCTTTAAATGGCTGAATTTCAAGGAGGCTACATCATCAAATCCCACCTAAGGACTGTTCCAATGTCAAGGATCCTTCAAATTCTACCAAGGACAGAGTCCTTTATTCAGAGAAATTTCAAGGATGCATGTGTTTACCCTCAGCGGGTATGAAGTACCCACAATTGCAGTGCCAGTGCAGCTCGGCAGGATTTAGATTCCAGGATTAATATCTCCAGGAGTTTTTAATCAAACAAGCATGAAAGTAACTGACATAAACCTCATAATTAACACTTTCCAATGTGTACACTGCCAAATGATGAGCTTTTTAAAAAACTGAGATTTAGATAAAACATAAAAGTGTTTAAATTAATCATTTACAGCAGTGACAGAGTGCTAAGTGGCACAAAAGTTTCATTTAGCTACCTGTTTGTTTTTTCAAATATAATCCAGAAATCTATTCTCGTGTGACTCTGAAAATACTGCCTACATTTGTTCAAATTGTACAGCAACATTAGAGAGTGCCAAAATTATCACAGTCTCCTGAAACCCCCTCAGTTCACTGAGGGTTATTGACCCACACTAGGGGACACTCTTTAGCCTGTTCCAATGTGTGTTCACCGAATGCTAGGAAGGACTCTTGCCATGCTCATAAAGGACTCGTCCTTCCAAGGAAAGATCCTTGACTCTGAGAAACACCCTATGAGTCAGATCCAGGTCTTACTTATTGACAGCTCCACCCTCCTATCCAAGTATGGTCCCTTCTAGGTCCAAAAACCAAAATGGCCATGGCCTAAATGCCAAACTCAAAGCTTCCAAACTGCAGTCCACGTAGCTACATCCATTATTCTATACAGTCCATGGTTTGGCTTCAAACATGCACAGAACGTGTGTTTGAAAACAATATACATACAGTATACTGACAGGACTTCAATAAATTGAGACTGACCTAACATCCAGCATTTCCCATGAGCTGCTTTTTGTCATCACTTTTGATGTTTATATGGGGACATACACATTTATACTCAGAGCCCAGGAAAAGGCCAAGAAACTTATCTTAACTCCACGCCAACACTGTACCCAGCTCTAAAAAACTTCAAGAGAGGAACCACCCAAAAATGAAGTCCAAGACAGTTTTACTAGCTTTACTTTTGTCTTGCTGCTGCATACTTCTGTTTAATCTGATGCCACTTTTATCACTAATCACTTTGCAGTATATTTAAGATACAAATGTTTGCTGACTTCTCATACAAGATAAGGCTGTTTCCTGTCGCATCAAATCAATGATAAAAATTAATCCTGGTTTTATAGAGGGGCAGATTGTGTGTAGGATTGAGATGTCAGCTGACCCATTAACTAAAGAGCCATATGGGACCGACAGTTACACAAGACTCAGCATCCTACTTTAGAGTCCATGCAGCTATAAAATGAGGGAAGATTCTCGGGAATAAAATGTCAAAACATCCCCTGCGGAGCATCCCTCAGAGCTTGTGCTTGTATTCCAACAATGGGAAAACAGCCAAAGAGCCTCATCCCTCTTTCAATGGCAAGATCAGCAGTAAGTGCAGTGCAAAATCCCTCCACTCGCTGGGCAGCCTGTCAACAAACTACAGCAAGCCAAAAACTGAAGCCTGTTGTTCCAGCTCAGCTGTCAGTTTTGTTGTGACATCATTCATTATAGTGTTGGCGTCTGTGCGGCTCTGTCTCAGCACTGGGCAGGAGCTGTCACAGTCACAGGCCTGTGAGCAACAAACCACTCCAATGCAAAGCAGAGGCTAACTGTTAACAGTCTGCTGCTGAGACGATATGTAGGGCTTTCACTTGATAGGGCAGGAACCTGGGCTTTATCAGAGCTGTTTGACCGGCCTTTTCAACAATCGTTTATGTGGACAAAAGCCACACAGAAGCTCTCAGTACAGCCTGTCTTTCATTGCAAACATTCTAGTCAACCCTATTAGTCACGTAAACAAATTCAAACTGGTTACTGCCCTCATGTTCAGACTTGTTTCTCTGCCAAACATCAGTATGAACGGTATTAAAAAACATGCCTCCAGTGGTGTACTTGCAGAGCGAACCTGGTGCCTACAACCAGAAATAATAACGTCTGCCTTCTGAAAAGAGAATGTAACACACAACAACATTGTCACATAGTCTAAAATACCACATCACCCCTCTGATCTACATACTCAAAATGTTTTATTGATGAGAAAGAGGCCAGGGTCTCATGCATTCTTTATGACAGAAAGGAATACATTTTGAAACTCTTCCTAATTAAACTTATTATCCACACAACAAAGGGGAACGGGGCTTTCCCAGGAGAGTGGTTACTGCAAAATAAAAAGGTGCATTGTGACAGGACCCAAGGCACTCAGGCTATATTCTTTAAAGAAACAATTATCAGCAACACCACTGCTCTAATGTTGCTTTCATGTGGAAGCATGGCAAAGTGAAACTGAACAAAGACAGGCCAATGGGAAGTCACTGTGTTCACACCAGGGGAGCAGCTGAGGTTCAAAGACTTGGCTTGTGACTAGTGACTGTGACTGAATTTGTTTCCTATTAAAATTTCTGCCCAATCCTGCCTGATGCGATCTCCATGTTCAGCCCTGAATATTGTCCAAGGCTCAGCACTTCAGAAAGACTGACTAATATCAGCCATACTGCGTGCTTTAATTTAATAAAGAAGCTGCGTTGGCACCGGAAAAGGTGGATGTTACTACAGAGTGCCCCACAAAGAGTCCTACATCAGCAAACAAAAACAGCAAACCTCTGTGTTTATGCATTAGTCCGATCTGTGCCTGGGCTCAGGGATGGAGCAGCTGATAACAGGGGTTGATGTCGAGAAAGGCAGCCATGTGCACGAGTGTTTGCTTCTTGACGTAAATCCTGCATTCCCTCTGTCCTTTGACCCATATATCACCCTGCTAAACCTATGATTGTGTAATAATAATGACTGCATTTAGAGGATACTAGACATTATATAACCATGAAGAGAAAACCCAGGGCATGTGTCCTGAGCTTCCAACCTGCTAGCTCCTGATCTGACTTAAGACTTTCAGGTACATGAAGTGGACATTCAGTGCACAATCCTAGAAGTTATAGATAAGTTATGACTAGGTAAACACTTCAGTTTTGAGAGCTGTACTAAAAGGGCTGCAGATTCTTTCTATATCAATCATGTTCTCTATACAATGTCAAAAAATGGTGAAAAATCCTCATGTCTTTGTTTAGACAGCTGTCGCTCAGGAGGTAGAGCCTAGAGAGAGTCCACTGATCAAAAGAGGGGCGGTTCGATCACCAGCTCCTCCAGTCTGCATGTCAAAAGCACCGTTTCCACCAAACACTTTAGGTATGGTACCTTTGGAACCAAAAGTAACCCTTCAGACATGGTACCTAGACCCTAGCGTTTCCACTGCAAACAGTACTCTTAAATGTGGGCAGGGTTCTTGTCACTCACTGCTCCGTCCACCACTCGCTGCATTTCCTTTCCACCTTTTAGTACCAGATCTGTGTGCTAGGTACCCCAACAGAAGAGGGACCAAATATGGGGACGGTACAGAAACGGGTGCAATGGTACCATCCACAACTTTTCACAGTGGAGACGGGATAAAGCGTACTGAACTGAACTGTACCGTACCATACCATACTGGTCAGTGGAAACAGGGCTAAAGTGACCTGGAATGCATGTGAATGTTTTAACTGAGTAGCTGGTGGCACTTTATACATTAGCGTCAACCACCAGTGTATGAATGGGTAGGGTAATGTAAAAGCCCTTAGAGTGGAGGGAAGATTAAAAAGGCACGATATATTCATTATGTTTTTTTTGTCTGATCAACAAAGATATGATTTATTAGCATACATGGTGAAGAAGAGCAGTGATTGTGACAGCTGAACAATAACTGAGACGGTTCAATTGCTTCATAGCAGTTCAAACAATGTATTCCAATTATTTGGCTGTTAGCGTAGTTGCTGATTGGGGTGCCCTGGTAACCTAGGAGTTGGAGCACCAGCCTGCACTGCAATGTCCCTAGTTCAGTTCATGTGTTTCATGTAATTCCCCATCTCTCTATCCCTTTATTTCCTGTCATCTCTCTACCACCAGCTAACCCAAAATAAAGTTAGAAAATGCCTAACCAAAAATAATTTTATCTGTCTATGCACTAATTAATTAACTGACTAGCTATCAGCTCCCTATCACTATACTGTAGTATTTATATGTTTTTGAGTTGGTGTTTTCTTTGTAGTTTCCTTCTAGTAGGAAACAGGGGAAGAGTAATCAACAACTGCAGGTGATTAATTTGAATCAAATCGAAAAAGCTGCCTGGATGCATTAACATTTAACCTATAACTCATTAGCAATGCTTTGCAGTCCGATTCCATCCAATACGCAGTCGTGACAGTATTGATAAAAGCAACTCTCCTTGCTGGTTTCCAGGTTGATCGCATGTGCAGCAGCTGTGCAGAGGTCCTGCTCGAGTCAAACACAGCTCTGACAGAGGAATGAGGGAGGCAGAGCAGGATGGAGAAATAAAGTGCTAATCTAATGCTTTACTACGTGCAGTGGCTACAGATGGGGCACTTGTCAAGAGGCTCTATGGGCTGTTAAAACCCCCACCTTCACCACCCATTCTGATCCACGCTGAGTACATCTATAAAATAGCTTTTTCGCTCACTTCCTCAGCATCGATCACACACTCAGTGACCGAATAAAACAGCAGTTGAAGAATCTCATTGTTGCACCCTGAGGCAAAAACTAATGCTCTTGAACATCACCTGGCTTGCTTTGCAGATTGACCCAAACCAATGCTATTTTTTTCTTTAAACAACATAAATGTTAATAATGACATGCTAACATCAACCAGATTTCACAGGGTGCTCTATTTTTTAGGAATGACCTGATAAAATGTGCCTATGTGCCGTGTCCAAATGAGACTAACCCTGCCACACAGGCACTTTGGCTCCAAACACTCAGGATGTTATCTTCAGTCTCTGAAACCAGTTTCAAATATCTACTGATTTTATCGCTTTGGCCTCGAGAACAGACAGCACAACCCCTGGACAAAAAAGGAAGACAGTTTCTCTCTTTCGAGGACAGGAAACAGGCTTCAATAGAGACCTGTGTTAACCTTTTCCCTTTAACTGGGACCTCATCTTGAAACTAGGTGAGAAATACAGTATTTACTGTGCTTCAACTTTCAGTTTCCAGAAAGTTTCACTTCCAGAGAATGTGCTCGGAACACACTGTAAATAATGAGTCAGGCAGTGACTTGACAGGAGTCTCAATCCATTGTTGTTCGTTCACATTATTGATTTAGGAGTTGTTTAAATATTTACTTATTTTCTCAGCTTCACATGTCGTTCACTTTAGGCACTGTTTTCCTACTTTTCAAGAACTTCAATGATTTGTCGATTCATTTATTAAAGGATAGAAAATCACAAAGAAACTATTCAGATAATCGATTTACTGTTTATGCCATTTTTTTATTTTTAAAGATTGCTTTTTGGCCTTTTGCCTTTATTTGATTGAAAAAGTAAAGAGTGACAGGAAAAATGTGGTATGGAAAAAGCCTTAGTACATGGGGTGCACCTGGGGTGAGCTACTGGGTCATTTTTAAAACAAAAATGCCAAAGATTCTACAGTTACGGCTTCTCTAATAAGTACTGCTTTCCCTTGTTTCATATCATTTTAAGCTATACGTATTTTGGGAATACAAAACAAAGGTTTTGTAGACGCCAAATGTAGCTGGTATTTTTAAGTATTTTCCAACATTTTTTAGAGAAATAATTGGCAGACTAATTGATGATGAAATAATTGTAAGCTGCAGAAGCTGTATACGTTTCCCCTGAAGACTTCTAGCAGCTCCCAGAGAATAAGAGCTCCCTGAAATAGCAACAGAGACAGCATAATCCATTTTTCCATAAAAGGCAAAATAAGTGTGAATAAGGAATTAGGCCTGTATGGGCTGTAACCATTTGTGATAATTAAGGGAAGAATAATAATAAAATGAGATAACAAATCAAGAGAGACCTGGATGACATGTTGTAGTATCTCACAAGCAAAAAGTACATGTGTGCACTGCTGTTTCTTCTGGGAGCAATTTTAACTTATACTTGCACCTATAGATATTAACATATAACATTTATCCTTTTTCGGTATTTTATTTGTTACCAATTGCAGAATCAAAAACACAAACTGCATTATTTATCTGCTCGTATCACTCTTCTTCTTCTTCTACAAGGTGTTTTTCACCTGTACAGTAAAACCTCAATTTTAAGGGACTATGGACATAAACCACTCTGCCATTGCTAATCTGCTGCATAATAACCACACAAATGCCACGCCATACACAAAGAAAGCTGTGTCCTTCCCATCTTAACAGACCAGCCACACCCAGACTATGATCTCATGCTGTAGCCTTCAGCCTGTCTGGCCTGAGCATCCCTGGAGGACAGGCTCGCGGCTCAGGCAAGAGATAGGCAACCTCATTAGCACAATCAATTCCATAGCGAACCATCCACCACTACGCTTCGGCACTCCACTGTCTGGATTACCGATAGGCAGTGGCAGGGCCCTCACTCCATCGACAGGAATTGAACTTTCGAATGTGAAATCAATTGAAACCCACGCTCCAATGACAGACACCAAACAAATGGGAACGTGCAGTCCGAGTAACCCTATGCTTGAATTGTTCCCAGAGAACCTGCCGCAGAAAAAGGGGAGGATTAATTTTTCAATAGCATGTTCCAAAGTCTCCTTGCATTGTATTAATATTTTATGCACATGCTTTCAGTCCAGCGAAAGCAATTCAGCTAAGAACAAAATCATGTAAAGACCTCCACAAAGCCTTGATACATCATGACATATTCATTGTATACTGCAAACTGATTGTTATTCTAGGGCGTGTTACATAAACACACAACTTGTAACACTTTGATTTCCTTTTGGGACAACACACAGAACTGTACCATCTGACTGTACCATCATTTGTTCCATCTTTTCACAGCTGAGTCAAACTAACAACTATGATAATAACCAAGTGAACTCAGCACAAAAGACACCAGCGGAAAACTAATAATAGCATACTAAGCAAATATTATGGGAGAAAATGACATCTCTTATCTAAACTAATTACCTCCTTTGCCAGCCTCAAACTATTAGTCTTTGAGCCAGCGGTGGAACATCAATCAGAACAAGAGACTTCAGCCACCAAGAGGATCCTCTTTCTTGCAGTGTCATCATTATCTAATCCCCACTGATTAAATATGTCCTCTTTCTATAAATGTATTTAATAGAATACAAGGCCATAAGAGAAAGGCAGAAAATTGTTTTCTTGCTCAGTTCTTTCTTTTGACTCGGCAAGAATCCATAAACACAACCTTTTTATTCATGCATGAGCATCTTGCCATCTGGGATTTGTGTGGTGATCTGTGACAAATGTCTGGTGCTGCTTAGCCAGACAAATGCACACGCAAAGACGTGAAAACAAACTCACACAAACACACAAATAAACGGAAACACAAACAAAAGGCATACAGACCCGCAGGGAGATTAAATTAGAGTGCCACAGAGAGAGACAAATATAACCCAAGTGGAGGAGCGTGTTTAAGCATTACTCACCTTTGTGCCCCATCATGACGGCGAGATGCAGCGGTGTGTTTCCTAAAGAAGAGAGGAAAAAAAGAACAGTTTGTTGGCCGCTTTTGATAATCACAATAAGCGACGAGCATCTGTGATAAGCACTGTGCCTCTAGGACTGTCACACTCGGGGTGAATTAGATGTTTAAATTAGGAAGCAGGAGCCACTAAATTCAAAATTACATGGTAAGTATATGCCTATTGTGTGTTCTCCTACCATGACAGGCAATATTATACTCTATTAACCTACTGCACCCCAGATATCAGCTGCATTAGACTGGCAGGGACATGGCTTATTAACAGACATAAAGTAAACACTGAATACTGGCTTCATTCTAGAAATGCATTCATGGAAAATAACATTTGAGTCAGGTGTGGAGATTGCACAGGTTTTTTCTTTCCCAGGATGCAAAATGTGCCTCATAAGCACAGGAGAATCCTTAAGAGGAAGCAAAACTGCCCAGTCAGCTCCTTCAGGCTTCTTTTCCAGGGAGAGAGCAACGGGCAAGCATCCAGAGTAAAGAGGGCCTGCCTTGTAGAAGCCCTCATACGAACCATGATGTCAGTGAATATACAAGCTGGGGATCAGCTAGCAGTCCAAGTAGATGTTGTGATAAACGGAGACGCCAATTAAATGGAGGTGAATTAAATTTCATTTGTATCAGCAAAGTGTCTGTAAATCAGCCTTCATGTTACGCTAGATAATCCCAGCCTTGCTGTCAATAGTTTCCATTGGCGCCATTTCTTCTGCAAAAAGTAGTGCTGAAATGTTAAGTCAATGAGTCATTAATTTTGATAATAAATCCATTGTTTTAAGTCATTCATTGAGCAAAAACTGCCTAAAATGAATGGTTTCAGGTTGTAAAATGAGGCTTTCATGTCTCCCTGACACTTTGAAGTCATCGAATGATCAACAAAAGTCTAAAAATAATTATTAGTTGCAGCAGTATTACAGTGGAGAACTTAAAATAAAGATATTATCTGAAAGGGTTGGTGCAGTAAATGAGAAAGAATGATTTTCTATGTGGATGAATTCACCAATCAATAACTACATCATGTAACAACATCACAACCATTAACCGTACTGAGTACTTGCTGTACGTGTGGCTAATGTTGGGCTAATGGAAAGAACAGAATGCATAATAAAGCTTTACTTCTGTCTTCATATGCTACTGACTGCTGATGGAAACGTAAACACGCTAACAGCCACCCAGTGGAAGCTAAACTAAGTAAGTAAAAACACAAACTGCACTGCCACTGAACCAGGACAGGCCAAACCTTTGAAAAATACAGGCTCATGTTCCAAAACACCAGAGGCCAATACCCTGTGTGACACCTTGTTGCATTACACCACAGCAGAGCTCTGGTTTGAAGACAGTCCACATTCCAGTGCTGACACTGAACTCTAGTACAGGCCATCTTTTGTCTCGGCACGTGAACCGGAACGAAACAATCTCGTCCTTTTGTTAGTTCAGGGAGGGTTCCTGTGGAGAAATGGTGGTGTTATCTGCGCAGACTTTGCCCTTCAGAGGAGGTGTTGTGAGTCTGGGGAAAGTCTTGCAAATAACCCCTGTGACTGTGGACCAACTTCTAATAAGCATTTAACCCAAGGTGGCTTATCTGAGTGGGGTTTGTGACTGGGTCTGATTAATTAGGAATGTCTGTGTTGTAGGTGGGAGGGGCCACTGAAGCAAAACAATCATTTCTGCACAGTTTTGTTGACTTGCAGTGGATTTGGAGAAACTGTAGTGAGGTGGAATCACAATACTCATCAGTTTGGCCTTGGCAGGGAGAAGCCTCGCCTACTCCCAGTGCTGCTGAGGACTGATGGCCTATTAGCTGACTAAAACTAAGCTTCACTGGACCTTATAGTAGGTGGATCGTGATTTGTTTTGGGCTATGAGACAAGCAGCTGGTAGACTCACCATGGACGTCTTTCTGGGCGATATTCTGCGTCCGTATGAGTGAAGACAGGCGTCGGACATCTCCTTTAAACACACATTCGTGCACCGGAAAGTCCTGCCCGGTTCGGATGATGGGGTTTTTGTTGTTGTCATCGATGACATCCGATGTTGACTGTGTGGTGGTGTTGGCATTAATCTGCGACTGTTGGTTCTGCTGCTGCTGCTGTGTAGATGAAGACTTGATTAACTTGTGGTTGCTGAAGATTTTACTCGCTCTGCTCTTGTTGTTCGCCTTGGAGGCGGCGAACGTCCCGGTTGCAGCCTCCTCGTCCGGCTCCAGTAAATCCTCGTCCTTGCTCGGCCTGTGATCCTTGCGCAGGGAGCGGATCTTCTCTCCGGTCATTTTCTAAACAGTTGACGCTAGCGGAGCAGAGGGTGTCGTCGCTGACGATGACCCTCCGGGCGAACTGATGCGATTCGCCAGTTGGAAGTCTTCACGCAAACACTGTAAACTGCACAACATGAAAACACACTTAATCCTCCACCGAGCAGGCAAAAACGACCGTGTGTCCGAAGACGAACGAGCAGCGGCTTTCCTTCACCGGTTTACTATGAAAACAAACACTTCACTCCCCTCCTGTCGCTAGAAACGGTCGCTGGTTGCTGCACAACATAAGCGGCTCCAGTTGACTAGTACTCTGATACGGAAGATTCGGCTGATGTCTTCCGCCTCGTAGTATCGCGAGAGTTCAGGGCGGGTTACTAACGGTCACTCGCTAATACATTCTCCTTCAATAGAGTAGTTTCTGCAAAGCAAGGCTAATTTATACAATGTAAAATGCCATAGGCTTGTGCTAATAACATTAGCATGTTGTATCTGTGGGGAAAATGTGTCCAGATAAAGACATTGTTTGTCTGTGAATGCTGCAAGTTATAGTGAAGCCAATTTGTGTACTTGTGTTTGAAATTGTCTGTATTAAGCTGTATTTAATGTGTGTTTTGGGTGTGTTTTCAATTAACTAAACTTTACAGCACTTCACAGAAACCTCCTCCACAAGTATAAATGCTCACAATGGCGTAGGGTCTGCCGCACAAGTATAAATCCCTCTTAACAAATGATATTTACTTAAGTATGCATTTGGGATACTTCTGTATTTCTACAGTTACTTTTCTGGTGATGAATTTACATATTAGTTTGATTAATAAGTTTTTTTTTATACATACATTTTAATATCTTTAGTACTAGTGTTTAACACTGTAGCAGAATGTACATTTTAATTTTTTTTGATGCAAACTTCATTTCTATTCCACTTTATATTATTGCTTTATAATGACATACTTTTATTTCATACTCTTATTCTTACATCTTAAAATTCTCTATTCTTTTTTTTTTTTTTTTAATTATAATTTTTATCATTTCCTGGCATATCACAGAAATTAAAACAAAAAGCTGATGGGCAAAAGTCAGAAACTAAAAATGACTGCAGATAGCAGATACAGATGAGCAGCTAGTGTAGCAGAAGTCATAGGGGCTACCTTGATGTTAAAAATACAGGTTGCTGCACAAACAGAAACAAAAAAACAACGTAAACAAAAATACAGTGATATACTTAAATATCCACCTATCCAGTATATGCATACTGTACACCCATGCGTAAATTGCACATATTACTTAAACATACCTAAACAGTACATATGCATGTAAACAAAAATAATTATAATTCTCTATTATTTACGTCGGAGCAACTGTAACGAATCATAATTTCCCCTCGGTGATCAATTAAGTATTTCTGATTCTGATTGAAGTGTTGTAATTAGTTGGAGTGCAGCTTATTTTAAGTACTGTATATACTGGAAATAGGTTTGTATTCTATTTATTTACTGAAATCAAAGTTCCAATATCAGGCTATATACAAAATTTACACAAGTTATCCCCCAAAAGTACTTGAAGCATTAAAATGTGACTTCCTGATAATTGTTAAGTAAAAAGTTGAAAATTTTCCACTGTCATGTAGAACAGTGGATATGTGAAGTAGCATTAATTGAAAAGTAAAGTCTCGTGTACTTTAACTCTCTTAGCAGAAGCCCACTGATGTGAGTGTTGATTCACGTAGGCATTTATCTTTAAGAGCAGGACATACAATTCATCTCACCACTGCCTGAGGAACAGATGGATAAAAGTTCAATTTACATTTTGATTATAAAATCTATCAAAGGTGACACCAGCAGCAGCCCCAGGCACACAGATGGATAATTATTTACTTCCCTGTAGTTGAATTTAGGGTATCGTCAGACAAGATAAACAAACATTATTTCATCATTAAACTTGTACAGTTTATCATTTTGTTCTCCCTTAAAACTTACATGTAATAAAACATCTCCATGCACATCCACAGCAACGGACATTACCACAACTAGAAGAGAACACACTTGATTAGATATTTATTTACATTTATCACATTAATATTACTGAGTCATCTGTTAATTGTTCATGTGTCCAGCATAGGCAAACATTCTTTGCATGGTTTTATGTAACTACAACGACAGAGAATTAATTGTTTTTCTTCTGTTTATTATTATTATATTTTGATCTGTGCATGCTCAACCCAGCACATTTGTACAGCACACAGTATTATGTACGTGCACAAGAAATGCAGTGTATTATTGTGACACTGTCATTGTGGAGTGTATATTCAGCATATATTAGAATAGTTAGAATTGTAATTTCAGTCTATGTCATAGACTGTATACTAACTTTTTGGTTGGCTGTTTATGATTTATGTTTTGAATTCAGTTCAATTGAATACACAGGAAGGCAATCCAGGCACTCCAAAAATAAAGAAAAACAAGGAAAGAAATATTAAAAAGTCTTTATTGTAGTGGCTAAATCATTTAAAGAGCCAAGATGTTTCGACCACTGCAGATCTTCATCAGGCTTTCAAAACATACAACACAGGTGTATGTCATATAGTGGCAGGAACCAATAGGAGGCCATCACATGACCCATATAATGGCATGACAGATAAAACAAATAAACAATAATGAAAAAAATAACAAGTTAACAAAAAAATACATGAGATAAGATACCCAGTAAAAATAAATTTATATATATATACAGACCTAACTTAACCCATAGGCTGTGAGGAAAAAAATGGCGAAGCTTGTGGAGAATAATGACAAATTACAAAAATGTGAAGTGTGTATCCTTGTTGAGACCAGGATACTTTAAAGTATCCAGGTGATGGATCCAAAAAGCTTCCCTTTGACTAAGTTTCTGTATTCTGTTTAGTTTGCATAATGTTGTCACAGTGAGGGCAATGCATACATTTAAAAGTGCCAAAAGGTTTAGATAACCATGTGCTTTTGTTGTCTGCAGGAAGATGTGAATGCATAAGTCTGTCCCAAACCACAGGTTAATGTTCACAAACAGTAACAACCACAACAAACAGTGGGTTCCCCGGGTCAGAGTCACTCACTGGGCCCAGTTTTCTAAACAATGGAGTATTAGATATTTGGCAAAATATACACATATACAAGATAAGTGTTTTCAAGGAGCAAAAGCAAAACCAGTTACTAATAGAGTAACAATAGGAGTAAGATAAGTATACGAGTTACTAAATATGAGTGGTTCTCAAATGGTGTGCCGTGATGCCAATTCAGGTGTGCCGCGGGATTTTGTGATAACCACACTGGGCCTACACATACACAATTTGTAATTGACTGTATCAGTGTGTTGTGTGCACCCATTTCCTAATAAAGAGGTAAACTGTAGCCAAAAAATGTAATTGACATTTATTTTGATGAATATTTTTCATACCTTTATTTATGTATATTGTACTCATACCCTGCATGCGAGTTACACAGCACCCAAATGATCTTTTCCATGTTTCACGCATGTTTTGTCTTATACTTAAATAATCTACTTGGGGCATTTCTAAGCTACTTTGGAATGTTAAGGGTTTAAATGGTCCAATAAAACGGACAAGAGTTCTGTCACATCTGAAGGGACTGCAGACAGATATAGCATTTTTGCAGGAAACACATTTATGTGACTCAGACAAAAATAGATTGTGCAAATCATGGGTGGGCCAGATCTTTCACTCTAAATTCAATATGAAGTCCAGAGGTACCGCTATTTTAATTCATAAAAAAGTCCCCTTCTTTCCTGCTGACATTATTTCCTACCCTCAGGGCCGTTATATTATAGTAACTAGGTCTTTGTCCCAAATGCCAGTAATACTGGTAAACATTTATGCCCCCAACTGGGACGATGTTAAATTTGTAAGTAAGCTTTATTCTCTTTTTCCCAGTCTTAATACCCATCATTTAATTTTAGGGGGGGACCTTAATTGTTTGATTGACCCGAAACTAGACCACTCCAACCCCAAAAACATATTTCCTTCTAAAATGTCTAAAGCTACAGTACAGGCCAAAAGTTTGGACACACCTTCTCATTCAATGCGTTTTCTTTATTTTCATGACTTTTTACATTGTAGATTCTCACTGAAGGCATCAAAACTATGAATGAACACATGTGGAGTTATGTACTTAACAAAAAAAGGTGAAATAACTGAAAACATGTTTTATATTCTAGTTTCTTCAAAATAGCCACCCTTTGCTCTGATTACTGCTTTGCACACTCTTGGCATTCTCTCCATGAGCTTCAAGAGGTAGTCACCTGAAATGGTTTTCCAACAGTCTTGAAGGAGTTCCCAGAGGTGTTTAGCACTTGTTGGCCCCTTTGCCTTCACTCTGCGGTCCAGCTCACCCCAAACCATCTCGACTGGGTTCAGGTCCGGTGACTGTGGAGGCCAGGTCATCTGCCGCAGCACTCCATCACTCTCCTTCTTGGTCAAATAGCCCTTACACAGCCTGGAGGTGTGTTTGGGGTCATTGTCCTGTTGAAAAATAAATGATCGTCCAACTAAACGCAAACCGGATGGGATGGCATGTCGCTGCAGGATGCTGTGGTAGCCATGCTGGTTCAGTGTGCCTTCAATTTTGAATAAATCCCCAACAGCGTCACCAGCAAAACACCCCCACACCATCACACCTCCTCCTCCATGCTTCACAGTGGGAACCAGGCATGTGGAATCCATCCGTTCACCTTTTCTGCGTCTCACAAAGACACGGCGGTTGGAACCAAAGATCTCAAATTTGGACTCATCAGACCAAAGCACAGATTTCCACTGGTCTAATGTCCATTCAAATGCCCAAACAAATCTCTTCTGCTTGTTGCCTCTCCTTAGCAGTGGTTTCCTAGCAGCTATTTGACCATGAAGGCCTGATTCGCGCAGTCTCCTCTTAACAGTTGTTCTAGAGATGGGTCTGCTGCTAGAACTCTGTGTGGCATTCATCTGGTCTCTGATCTGAGCTGCTGTTAACTTGCCATTTCTGAGGCTGGTGACTCGGATGAACTTATCCTCAGAAGCAGAGGTGACTCTTGGTCTTCCTTTCCTGGGTCGGTCCTCATGTGTGCCAGTTTCGTTGTAGCGCTTGATGGTTTTTGCGACTCCACTTGGGGACACATTTAAAGTTTTTGCAATTTTCCGGACTGACTGACCTTCATTTCTTAAAGTAATGATGGCCACTCGTTTTTCTTTAGTTAGCTGATTGGTTCTTGCCATAATATGAATTTTAACAGTTGTCCAATAGGGCTGTCGGCTGTGTATTAACCTGACTTCTGCACAACACAACTGATGGTCCCAACCCCATTGATAAAGCAAGAAATTCCACTAATTAACCCTGATAAGGCACACCTGTGAAGTGGAAACCATTTCAGGTGACTACCTCTTGAAGCTCATGGAGAGAATGCCAAGAGTGTGCAAAGCAGTAATCAGAGCAAAGGGTGGCTATTTTGAAGAAACTAGAATATAAAACATGTTTTCAGTTATTTCACCTTTTTTTGTTAAGTACATAACTCCACATGTGTTCATCATAGTTTTGATGACTTCAGTGAGAATCTACAATGTAAATAGTCATGAAAATAAAGAAAACGCATTGAATGCGAAGGTGTGTCCAAACTTTTGGCCTGTACTGTATATATATTTTATTTTTTTTATTTTATTTTTTGTGTGTGTGTAAGCGTAAGCTTAATTCTACTTGGGTGCTGTGTCTCAAAAACATATAGGCCTACCTGGGTATGTAAATGGCTTTACTTACATGTACATGCATTTAAATGTACTTAAATGTGTGCATTGTGCACATGTATTTAGAGAAGTCAATTTTTATTTTTTATTTTATTTTATTTATTGTTTTGCATCGGCAGTGGGTGGGGATTGGGTGGGTGGGATCAAAATCAAAAAAATGGAGGAATACTCTGAAACAAATCTATGTATGTATTTATCTGTATAATTATTCCTGCCATTAATAAAAAAAATGTAATTCAATTGAATTTAAATTTAAAAAGAAACCTTCACAGGGAACCTTCTTGTCACTGTTCACACATGGCAATTACAAGTGTGTGACACATCAAAAGCCCCGATTGGCAGCCAGTGTGAGGGATGATAACATTTAAAAGGAGAAAGCTGTGAGTGGGACAATGGATCCCTTTTTTGTATGGAGCAAATTTTGACAAAGCACCAACAATGATGACAGTAGACAGTATCATGAAAGCTACCTCTCTTATTTTTCCTTCTTTTAATTGTTTTATGTCGTGATAAGAGTGATAACACACGTTATAGAGGTTATTGTGCACAGATATAAACACAGGTGTGCCTTGAGATTTTGGTTTGCCCTTTGGTGTGCCTTCAAAAAGATTGACAACCACTGTTGATGATATGTTTATGATATAAAATATTGTATATGATGTAACATACCTCACTGAGTGTTCTTACCCGAGTTGCTTTTTGATTTATATCACCTTGATCTGATATCTATCTGGAGCATTAGTGTGTTGTCAGGTTTAAATTGGATGAAGAGGAACGGACCTCTGGTGATCTCACTGAGCCAGTACAGAGCACTTTCTCCCCCTATGGGTAAAGAGTGGAAACACAGCTAAGCGTCTCGTGTGTGGCAGAGGGGGAAGAATACACACAATTCAGTGTATAATTTCAGAATGAAAGCAAAAGTTCTGATGGTGGTGGTTGAGCAACATCCTGACTATAGAGATGGGTGGTTAGAGAGAAGTTTAGATGCCGTTTCTTCTTCTTAGTTTGACTTCACAGGACTACATAAGTTACAATTATTAGTGTGATTAATTTATTTTTTAAAGACAGTATAGTTGACTTTATGAGGTAAACTGGTGATAAAATGAGACCAAAGAGTATAGAGTTGAACCCCCCTGACTCAAACGACAGGAAGCGTTGCATCACTGCGGAACACATGGAACGCAAACAAGATGCCTCGTCACGTGGGTTGGACGCCCCTGCAGACCCACCAATCAGCGCCTTCCCCCTCGTGTTGATGAGCGCTGATTGGCTCAGAGGGACGAGCGCAGCGCACGGCAACGTCAAAATGCTTTCCGCCTTTACCATAATGTGGTAATGCAAACTCATCCTCGGCTCACAGTACTGCACATTGTGTGGAGCTCAGCAGCACAGCCATGGACCCAAAGCACAAGCAGGAGGAGCAGAGCGACTTGTACGCCGGCTTCATCACCGCGTACAAATCCTTCGCCACGGAGGCGATCCACGTCGGTCAGGAGCCGGAGCAGTGGAAGTCAATGGCTGTAGTGCCGCCGATTTCTCTCTCGACCACGTTCAAGCAGCTCGGACCAGGAAATCACGCCGTAAGTAGCCCGATATGGGGATTCAAGGCGGTGGGTGATGGGGGAGATTCGGCGGTATGCACGTGCCTGAAGAAGAAGACCCCATGCAGCTTCATGCAGGAGGACCAGAGTGGGCTATAAATGTAAATTCAGGTCTTTCTTAACCTATCTAAGTCATAGAAATATTAGTAAAGATAAAATCACACCTGCATATCTTAGGAATATATATTTTATAACTATATATGTAAGATATAGCCTGATCAATACTTTATTAATCCTAATGAGTAACCCAGCCTTAAAGCAGCCAACAAAACAACATTAAAACACACAAAGATGTAACTACAAATAATACCTTGGCATTCAACTTTAGATCTATCTTCAATATCCAGTATTTTTGTAGCTATTATAAATAAATACAGCACTAATAAACATCATTATAAAACAAGAAATCCAGGAAATACAATAATGGAAACAAATGACAATAATCTTAACTAGAAACTATAACAAAAACTGACTATGACTCTACATAGTTAGTAATAAGCAGAACAAAACACAACTATTTCCTTTTATCTTAGGTGTGACTATGCACACGTGTCAAAAACCTGATGTCTGTGCTACGAAGAGTTTGACATTAGCGAGATAAGTTCAGGGTTAACTGATGGTTTTCATTACCACAAAGCTGGTTCTCTTTTTTTTGGGATAAATCACCGTGGTCCCTTATGCTGGACAGCTAACCATTATGTCCAGGGTATAGGATCACAGCCTGTTAACTCCCTGACATCTGACCAATCAGATCTATGGAGAAAAAAGTATCCATGGATAAAAGTCCGGAGTCTCAGGTCAAAAAAAAAAGAGGAAGAGCTTAATAATTTAATTGCTCCAGGGCTCTGTTTCCACTGGTTTTTAACAGAGCTTCCAACAAACACAGGGATCATTACACACTAAACACATGATTTTAGCAGGATTTTAACTCTTAACATTTTACAGGAAAAATGAAAATATCAGTCAGAATAAACCTCATCAGTCATTAACTAGGCTGCTCTGGCATTACTTTAAAGTGTTTTATGTGACATATTCATCATTATTCAACCACATAGCAAAGTGTACTAATATTAAATATAGCCCAGTGATACCTACACATAATTTAAGTCTCGGCCAACTGTGAATTTTTGGGTAGTATTTTCAGTGTTTTCATTAGAAGATGACAGAGTATCCTTTACATCCCGTGCCACTGATATTTTATTGTCTGTCCTTATCATATAAAGTAGCTGCCTTCATTTATTGTTCTGATAATGTCGCTTGTAATTAACACCCCTGCCTCTTCACATGCTCGTGGCAGAACAGGAAAACCCAGAGTTGACTGAACTAGTTGATAACTAGCTTTGTAGTACCACTTATCTAGAAGGTAAGTGTTAGAGTCAGTCGAGCCAGATAACAAAAAGATACCAAAGTCAAAAGTCAGTCAAAAGAGAATCTATCGCAAGAGAAACCTCTTAACTTCAGTTTTCCTCTTTTGGTGTTGAAATCACCCTGAGCAGAGGGTAACACACACACACCACTTGCTTTGCCTCTTTTGTGGTGCAGGAAATCAGTTACCCCTGAAAATCCAAGTCTAAATAAATAAGTCCTGCACATGCTTATGCATTGATTTATTGAAAAACCATATTTGTTCCTATCACAAGGACCTTTCTAGAGACAAAGGGGAGATAACATATTAACTTTTACAGCTGTCTGTTTTCTCTGTCAATTATTATACTGAAGTCTTCTAATGGATTGTCTTTCACGTAGATTCGTGTGAAAGTGCCTTCATCTCACACATCAAGCAGTCGTCGTAAAAGACTGGTTGAGCAATTTCTCAGGGGTCATTGAAGCTTTTTATTACACAAAAGCCCAGTCCATATAGGAGGGGGATGAGTTCTTCTTTAAAGTTTCCTAGTTTCAAGACTAATCTTATGTGGAGCATTAACAGCTAAAACTGCATTGTCAGTGATGGCATAGAAATGCCCCAACCCACCATTCACGCTGATCTCCTGACCTCTTCACCTTACTTTGTGGAAACATTCAAACCAGAGTTAACTGGTCAAACTGGAACCCTTTAACGCCCACATATTTACTTGTTTGCAACTGAATGAAGGCAACAACACCCGGCCCTCATTTATCGAAACATATGTCTCGCGTTAATGTCTCAAAGCGATAAGTTCTTTTATTCGTGCTCAATGATGAACCTCCTTTCAGAAGTGCTGAATACTTTCACTTCCATAAAATCCAAAAGCTGCAATACATTTTGATTAAACTAGGGAAGTTTCTCATAGTAATGGTAAAAAAAAAATAATGAGGTCATTAAATTGTAATTACTGTCACATATCAGTTATTAAAACAGAAAATTACAGGATGAGTTTTTGTGTATTCATTGTTCAGTCTTGTGCATACACCCGCTTGACTAATCCAACTAAAGACAAACATAAGCACTGCCAGCTCTGAGGGCGGCGAGCCAATACAGGTATGGATGGTGTGCTGTTGAACCCAGTTGACCTGCCATCAAGCCTCTTTCTTAAAGACAAAGAAGAGCTTAATGAATTCTCATATCCTCGTCCTGCTCAGCAAAATCTAAAGTTTATTAATGCATGCTTGTGTTTAGGGAACCAGCCTGCCAAAACACTGCTTCCTGTTATGGACTGAACATTTCGGAATGGCTTATCCTGTTAGGTGTCATGGGTGTGCTGGTGGGGTACACCCTGGACAGGTCGCCAGACTATCACAGGGCTGACACACAGAGACAGAGGACGCTCATTCGAACTCTGGTGCGGACCAAACGAATGAACCCTGGTCTGCTTGAAAACTGGGGGTCTCAGTTCACTTGCAATTGAACCCTGGTGCGGTGCACTTACAGTGCGAAATGCATGGACTATCCAGCAAATCAAAGAGAGGAAGTGACGTAGAGCACAGTGCTGAAGGGGATGGATTTCCGTTTTCGGTCCTGGCCAATCGATGAGCCGGGTTTTCTTCTTCCTCATGCTTTTTTTTCTTCCTGGTCAGTGGTCGTTAAAGGGCAATACTGCCCCCAAACGAGCAGCTGTTGTAACTGCGCGACTGGCAAAAGTGCAGTGTGAAAATTAACAAAACCAAATTAAAGTGTGAAATTTTTTGGCATTCCCCGCCCAATCGAACCGAGTTCCCTGGACTATCCTGGTGTGAATGCGCCCAGACAACCATTCACGCTCACATTCACACCTACGGGCAATTTAGAGTAAATGGTTAACCTAACCTGCATGTCTTTGGACTGTGGGAGGAAGCCGGAGTACCAGGAGAAAACCCACCCTGACACAGGTCCAAACCTGCTCCCACGCCATTGTACCACCATGCCGGCACCTTACATTATTGAGAATGTTAATTTAGGTGACTGAAGTGTCTTATTTTTATGCAGGGGTATGAATACAGCCGGAGTGGAAACCCTACAAGAAACTGTCTTGAGAAGGCCGTGGCTGCTTTAGATGGAGCCAAGTATTGTAAGTAATGCTTTTGTAACAGACGCTTACATAATCATGGCAGGCGTGATTCACACTCTTAAACATCACTCACAATGGAGGAAATGTATGCAGCCTCTGTTTCCTCTGACATGAAAAGGATTTAACGCTTTTGCTCCGCAGGTATTGCTCTTGCCTCGGGGCTGGCAGCCACAGTTACCATCACCCACATGCTCAAAGCAGGCGATGGGATCGTCTGCATGGATGACGTCTACGGAGGTGAGACATCCCTTTGTAAATGACAATTGTGTAGAATGCTATGATGCAACCATGAAATGTTTCCACCCACCATTTACTCCCTTTTAAAAAGAAACGGCAGTTGGTGTGAAAGTGGAAGCATATGGTGTGAGCTGGTTTTGAATCACACCTGTTTTTTTGGGGGGGAAATGTTAACTCAGTTTCACCTTCTTGATTGCAAAGGTACAAACCGCTACTTCCAAAGAATTGCTGCTGAAGTTGGTCTGGAGGTGTCGTTTGCTGACTGTACAAAACCAGAGCTGCTGAAGGCTGCATTGAAGGCCAACACTAAAGTAGGTGAAAGAATGATATGATATGAATAAAGTGCTCTTTGTGTTTGCTTTGTGTGTGTAGTTTAGTTCCTCTCCCAACAGATTTTATCATTCAAAGTTGCTGCTTCAGATCTAGTTTTGCTAGAATATTATGTATCTGGGTGTGTCACCTCCCTTTGGGCAGTCAACTATGAATCAGCACTGTGTGTGATAAGTGTTATTGGTACCGTAGATGAGCTGTCTTAGCCACAGTGTGTGTTTACCACAGTTACACACCCTCCTCAACATGTTGCTTCTCTGTGCAGCTGGTGTGGATCGAGACACCCACCAACCCCATGATGAAGGTTGTAGACATCAAGGCCTGTTCAGAGGTGGCCCACGAGTACAACAAAGACATAGTGGTTGTCGTGGACAACACCTTCATGTCGGCCTTCTTCCAGGTAAGAGTGACAAATGGGGACTTCATGCCCTTTTGATTCTGAAAGAGTGGTTAATAGTTTACTGCCATTGAATTCCAGTTCACGTGGAATTAAGTCGCTGATTAACTCATGTTTGTCTTGTGCTCTCTTAGCGCCCCTTGGCTTTGGGAGCTGATGTCTGCATGTACTCAGCCACCAAATACATGAACGGTAGGTTTTGTGCATGTTCCTGTTTTACTAGCATAAGATTTCCTTTAATTTGATACAGTCTAAATCAAAAAATGGTAGGTTTACAAAAATACATCAGAGTATTGGGGGAGAAACAAGCAAGGACAGCCCGTCAACTTCCATGCCAAAGTGAGGAACAAGGAAGATCTGTAGTCTATAATTTTACACCGTAAGTCCCTTATTATCAAAGGATTAAGGGCACTGAAATTGTTGCACTTGATCTTCTCCAGTACTTTGAGTTTTCCAAGACAAAAAAAAACAGTAACTTCATACATAGATCCTCAGGCACAAACATCTAATCTAATCTAAAAGAGTATCTGCTCCCACTTACTTAAATTTTTTGATTGTATGAAAATATCAACCTTTATTCGGCAGGTCACAGTGACGTGGTGATGGGTTTGGCCTCCATGAATCGGGAGGATCTGTATGAGCGACTTAAGTTTCTGCAAAATGGTGAGCACAAAGAACCACATATCTTGAAAGTTGATTTCTGGTTTATGTCATGTGTCTAGCAAGAAGCCAAGTGTTTCCTAGCTCCAGTTTCACCAGTTATGCGCATTAAATTTAAGGACACAGGTCACAGAAAGTTCTCAAGTTGTATTTTCACCTCATATCCTGCTCTGCCATGCTCAGTATTTGGTGGACCGGTTATCTCAAAATGACCTACATTCACTCATTAAACAACCAAAACATGCTTCACATGCCAAAGTTCAGCACCAAAGCTTTTTAGAAGGAAGTACTTGTTTATGCTTTTGTTGTTTGCCTGATCTGGGTTTTGGGAGGCTTTGTGACCTCTTTGTTTTGTGTTTTTTTGTTGTTTTTTTTTCCTCCGCCCATGTGATCTCACTTTGTTTCAGCACTGGGCTGTGTACCCTCTCCCTTCGACTGCTACCTGTGCAACCGAGGACTGAAGACGCTACACCTGCGAATGGAGCGGCACTTCAAGAATGCCATGGCTGCTGCTAAGTTCCTGGAGGCGGATCCCAGGGTGGAGCGAGTCATCTTCCCAGGTGATCTCTCAACCGTGGAGTGTAACAAACAAATGTGATATAACTTGAGTTATGGGATGCCAGCATATTGTTGAGACATGCCTGTTTTTAAACAGGCTCCAGCAGCTACTTTATGGTTGTCACTGTGGGTTGTTTAAGTTCATGTTGCCTAAGAGAAGCCTTTCATAGTGATCTATTACAATCCTTTTATATAAGACAAGATATTGGGATCTTATGAATTGATGTCATGCCTTTCCAATGTTTTACCCACTTGACATCTGCACAAAAAGTTGGCATTTTCTTTTGAAAGTGGTCACAGTTAGTCTTGAGTCCAAACAAATCAAGGCTCATGAGCAAACATTTCATCTTGTCACAAATAGCACGCTGCAGAAAAAACATTTAAAAGGGAAGTCTTTGTAACTTTAAGCTGAACATTATGGATTCATCTGCACTCCTGCATAGTTTCCTTGTTAAATATTGTTTTGCAAGGGTTGCTAATCATTCCCAACAGCTGGCTCTCAGATGTCTATTAACTCCTCTCCTTGCACCCATTAAGCCTTACACTTTAGGGTTTATTTGTTAAAAACACTAGTCAGACAATGTTATTTTAACTCATCAATAAGCAATGCAAATTAAACCGTGTTCAAACCCACACGCTGTCTATGAACATAAACACCTCGTCTTTAATGAGATTAACATCCTTTAAGCACCACCTGATGTTGTTTCATGTTTTCCCTCTCTCGGTGCAGGCCTGCCCTCACACCCCCAGCATGAAGTGATGAAGAAACAATGCACCGGATGTCCGGGGATGATCACCTTCTATATTAAGGGGAAACTGGAGCACGCCAGCGCCTTCCTCAGTAACCTCAAAGTAATTTGGCAGTAAATTTATATTTGATATGGACTGTTTGATTTTGTGTTTTGGAAGAGGGGAATGTTGCGAGGCCTGAGGGGCTTTTGCAAAACGACCGGGACAGATTCCCAGACTGAGGACAGGTGAAGGAAAGACATTTAAATACCACAACTACAAGAGGAGCTTATCAAAGTACTGAAGTCATACTTACAGGAATTTCCTGCAGCTGCTGAGGTGAAATGATTAAGAAAATGTTTCACCCAAGAAAAGCAGTTCACAGAAATAATGTTGCAATAATGCACTGACACAGAACTGATCTGCGCCAAAGGATGATGAGTCCATCCCGATGCTTTTTGTCTATTATAACTTTGCCTCAGCATTGATGAGTGGCTCATGTTGTCACAAGAAGACCAGATTGTGTTTTAAATGGCAGTCCCTTCAGGAATTTACGATGTTGTGATTGCAACAATTAATGCAAATTTAACCAATCTCTGTGAATTCTGTGCGACCGTGCAATTTTGTCCTATCACTGCAACTTCCACTAGTCACAGTCCCCTGCGCAAACATAATGGACATACATCACCAAATTCACTTCCTTGTGCTGTTCTAATGTCTCCCATTTGCCAACAAAAATTGCTGCTAAAGACCGAGCAAAACAATTGCCTGATGTTCTTCACAAAAGCGAAGATGGATGTAAGTGCTGAAATAATTGGGATTCAGACTTAGGTTTACTCTTCACATGGTACAGAGTACAGGTCTAAGGTAGAGCAAAGTACAGTGGTTCTCTGTTTGTGCCTTGTTTACTTTGAGTGCCTGTGCACTTGAACTCTTTAATTTGCACAACTCTACCTTTTTTGGATTCAGCCACTATGTGGGTAAGAGTTTGTTGCTGGCATCTTTCAGCATGATGCTGAACGTTTACTGAGAGGTTACGTGCACTTTACCTTTCAACCCTGCAGAATCTGAGGTCAGTAATGGTTATCAGAAGAAAACAGGGTTTAACATTGTTTTTGATTTTTAGCAACATGCGTGTTTAGTCTGATTTTCTGTGAGGTTCTTTGCACTTTAGCTTTTTAACTAACTCGATGCTTAATTTTTATTCTATTGAATTTTTTTGGTCATAGGTGTCACACAAGGTTTGTCATTGTTATTGACGTTTAGCAATCTTCTGTGCTCACAGTTTTTACTGAGTTTGAGCTTTTGTAAAAGAAGTACATCTGGGGAGAATTACAAAAATAAAGCACATTTTGTTAGAATTTTGAGGTCAGGTCTATAATGCATTATGAGCACATTCATAAGACATTATAACGCATTTATAAGGCTTTATAAACGTCGTTATAAATGTTTATAATCATGTATGACAACTTATAACAAGGTTTATAAAGTATTGTAAGTGGTTACATAATGCATTATAAATTCAGCATTCATAATGCTTTATACTTCCATGCCAAAGTGACGACAGTGTTTGAAAGAAGAATCTGAAGTACTGGCATTATTAGTCAATTTGGCATGGAAGTATAAAGCATTATGAATGCTGAATTTATAATGCATTATGTAACCACTTATAATACTTTATAAACCTTGTTATAAGTTGTCATACATGATTATTAGCATTTGTAACAACGTTTATAAATGTGTTATAATGTCTTATGAATGTGCTCATAATGCATTATAGACCTGACCTTTAAGTAAAGTGTTACCGAATTAATCCTGAGCCTTTTTGGAAACGCTCAGACTCAATTTTGTAGAAAAGCTGCCGCAAAATCTGGCATTTAAGGCCGCAACACTCTTTAAAAAAGCCTGCAAAATCCTGGAGGGACTGATATAGCTGGCAGAGCTCCGGCGTTCACTGTTTGTATGTGTGAAAACGATCCAAACCACTAAATGTAGGCAAAGACTATGACAGTGGCTTGGGTGGTTTCTGTCGCTGGTTACTTATCATCTTTGTGTGACTTAATATTTCATTTGCCTCTGCTGTTTTTTGCTTGATGCACACATTTTTCATATCTACCTTATGTTTTACTTAATATCCTCTTTCCTCATTTCAGTTATTTGCGGTAGCTGAAAGTCTTGGTGGCTATGAAAGTTTAGCAGAACATCCGTAAGTATCCTGCAGAATTTTACTCTAAACATGTTGAATTTTAATACATTGTTTTATTGTTGGTATTCAGCAGAACTAAAAACGCAAACTGTGTTTAAACAAACAGGTGGTATGTAAAGCATGACAGAAATAGTAGTACAGTCATGCAGTTTTATAGAACTGAAACTTTCAGCACCTGTAATTTAGGATGTAATACAAGAAGCAGCGCCACAAGGGGGCAGCAGAGATCAAGAGAAAAACTGTCAGCCTCTCAAACTGATTTTTAATGACATTTTATTTCCATTAGAAAGTCTGTGTCTCCGCTCTAATCTCGATGAACACAACAGGATGTCTTCCTGTAGTGACTCATATGTAAGTGGCACTTGTCCTCTATCATAATTTAGGGCGATTATGACCCATGCATCGGTGCCAGAAAAAGAGAGGGCTGTCCTGGGGATTAGTGACACGCTGATTCGACTCTCGGTGGGACTGGAGGATGAGGTTGACATCATTGAAGACCTGGAGCAAGCACTGGCGGCTGCTGTGAGTAACACACAATACCGGAGTACCAGATACTCCCTCATAACAATGTTTTTTTTCTCCAGTGGATATTAGCTCTTAAAATGATGACACCAAGTTTGTGGGAGGCTGGAATTGTTTTCAGCCCTCTCTCAGTACACGATGGGACTCTGCACACTAATGAGTTGTTTCTAAGTTTTGATCTGCACAGAATAACCTCCTTGTTCTGCGGTAATTAAAATGAGCTCTGGTCCCAATCCCCTGATTATAATAGTGCGTCGGATGTCTTTTTATCTGGTGTGGTAAACAACCTGCCTTAAGATGAGACAGGACGCTCTGTGACTTGTTTACAGCTGTTGTGAAGCATCAGGGTGTCAGGCTCTCTTATCAACGCCATGCTGATCGATAAGTGTACGTCAGACCGTTTGAACCTGTGTCTCAGTGACAGCTGCCAGCGAGCCGTAACTCAGGTTTGATACAGAACCCAGACTGACAGGTTGGGATTGGAAACGCATCACCTGGGTCATGATCTTCTCTGGGAACAATTTAAAAAACAGATGTTCGGTTCTCAGTGATTGACAGGTGTGAAGTGCGGAGTCTCATCCTCAGTGCAACTGATAAAATAATTTTACCTGGTTACGGGGCCATACTCAGCCCACCTGAATCACTTTCACTCAAAGTCACAGCTAGCAAGTAATCCTGCTGTATTTTAGAAATTTGAATGGACATTTTCTACTGTCTCAGGCATCAGTATTTCCATCTATATCCTTTAAAAAGACATGTGAATCATCATATTTTTTAGTTTTCCTCCATATCAAATTAGTCCAGTGATAATTTGTTCTCCCCCGGAATACTTTTTACTTACTTTTTTTACGTGTAGGTACAACCAAAACTTAAAAGTAAAAAGGAAAGCAGTACACAGGAAAAACCTCAAATATGAGGTCATGGGATGTTTACAAAGACGTAACAAATTTTCCTAACTCAAAGTAAGGTTTCATGTAAGGTATGTACGATAATCATGTGACATCTGTCTCATTAGCTAAATAAACACACAATTTTCTCCACCATTTTTCTCGCAATTCTTTCCGCAGTTGTATGGAATATGTAATTTGTTCCAGAAGGTATGTGTTTAACAGTAATAATAATATAGAAGCTAGCAGTGGCACAGTTTTTCTGGAGCCATTTTTTTGTAATGGCTTTTTTTTTAATTGGTTTTTAAATAGGGCTGCCATGATTAGTCGACTAATCGATGACTAATCGACTATTAAAATAATCGGTGACTATATTAGTAGTCGACTAATCGGTTTGAGTCATTTTTCATAGGAAAGTACTATAAAAGTACCCAAAATACTCTTATTGCAGCTTCTTACGTTCAGATATTGGCAGCTTTACACACTCTCCCGTGACAGTGAACTAAAACCCTTTGGCGTGAGTATGAAACAAGACATTAGATGACGTAATTTTGGGGTTTGGGAGAGACAGACCGATATTTTTCAACATTTTAACACATTTTTCGATGAAATGATTAGTCGACTAATCGAAGAAATAATCGACAGATTAGTCGACAATGAAAATAATCGTTAGTGGCAGCCCTGTTTTTAAATAACATATAAACTGCTATACAGCATTATAAAAGAACAGGCAGTTGCAGAAAGTGAAGGCATTATCGGGGGCTATCCTATTGTGACTGGCTACAAGATGTAAAAACAAAATAAAATAAATATGACTTACTTCACATGGAGTTATCAAGAAAGTGGGGGTTTACAGTCTGGCTCTTATATATTCCATGAATGGATTTCAGATTCTCATAAATTTATCAGAAGAGCCGTTTAATGTGTGTCTTACTTTCTCAAGTTTGAGATGTTGCATCACTTCCCTCGATCACTGAGTCCAGCTCGGCGGTTGAGGGTTCTTCCAGTGAGGAAGGATTAATCTCCGTGCTAATGAAGTGACAAATTTCGTTATTTTGAGTTTAGATCCTGAAAGCTTCTTATTTTTCTCTCCTGCTATGCCGAAGATGGCTGTCAACAGATCTGGGTGAATTTTTATATTAAAGACGTCTGATAGCGTTATGAAGATCGAACTCCAAAAAGTGGACAGATTAGGACACAGCCAGAGTGAGTGTGCTAAGGCTGCAGGAGAGAGTCTGTGCCTGTCACAAGTGGAATCAACATCAGAGCACATTTTGAGTTTGACTTTTGTGAAGTTAAGGCAGCACCTTCAATTAGACAAGGCCAAGCTGGGCACAGATGGAAGCAGTGTGGACCCCCTCAAGGGCTCTTCCCCAGTGCTCCACTGTCACAGCCACCCCCAACTCCATCCCCCATACAGGCCTCAGGTACTCAAGAGATGGGTCTTGTAGATTTGAAAAAATAACTTATAAATAAAATATACTGCATCCCTGTTAGAGGGTTCAAAATGTATTGGCCTTTTTAACCAGCTGCCAGCAGGATCTTTAGTAGATAGATATCATCGTTACTTAGCCCATCACAGATGTGTCCAAGCCTTAACTATCTTAAAATCCAAGAAATGCCCTTGCATATATCTGACCTTTGTGGAGCTGCTGCTCGGAATTTGCCTCGTTTATTCATTTTATCTGACAAATACTGTTAATGTTTGTTTATGAACTGGCCCCTGGCCTCCTGCCATTTTGCAAAAGTGCCCCTCGGGCAAAGCAAGCTGGATATCTCTGATGTGAATCATGCCAATTTGTCAAAATGCAAACAACTTTAGGGATTTAAAAAAACACCCTGTAGTCATAGGCTTCCTCCTTACACCCTCAAAGTTCTTAAGGGTATTGTAGTTCCAAAACTTCGAGCATGATTATCTTCCAAAAAGGAGTAAAACAAATGGCAATAACGAGTGACAAAATCCATTACTAGCAACTTTTCAGTCTGTGTTTATGCACCACGGCTTCTAAGTCTTTCCACTTGGGGCTTCATGGTGTGAGAGCTGTGAAGGAGATCCAGATGCCACGTGTGGCTTGCTAATGATTAATCAGAGGATAAAGCACCCGTGCCTGTGTGTACTTTACAAGTACAAGGTTATATCTCACTCACGTGACATCCCACTCAGCTCTGAGTTAAAACCTGCACGTGTGGGTGATATTAAAACAAAATACTGGTGCGTTCAAGTTTACAGGGAATATATATTTGAGGGATTGAACCTTTTCCCTTTTTAAAGGTGAAACCAAGCAAGCTGCCACGTTTTGATTTCAAGGCACATCTTCAGACACAGCACACTATACACAATACAAAAATACAGACAGTGGATAAGGCGCTGCTGTCAAAATGCAGACAAATTGGGCCCAGAGAAGAAGTGGCAATTATCTTGGGAAACATTTAGGGAGAGCCAGGCCAGGAAGTATTTCAGACCAGGATTGAGTTAGGTATGCAGTGATTGCACGCTGTGAACTTTTGTAGAGGTCTTTGGGCTGCTGCATGACCAGATCCATCATGTGCTGTAAGGTCTCTGTATGTGTGCAGCAGTCTGGGGTAGGTTACCCTCCGTGTAGTCCACTGGGTATATTTCACTATTTGTACTTGAGTCTTCCTCGTTTGTGAGATTCTATTAAAAAATTCCAAACTTTAACTTTTAGCTGCACGCACACTGTCTGTATTTTTGTTGTGGGAAAAACAAATCAAAGTATTTCTGCCTTGTAGACCAACAGATGGCTCCTCAGAGAGGGACCCCAGTGTTTCCAGAATCCATTTTCATCCAGTTCATTATTCAATTTCAGCTTTTCTCACTTCACTTGTGCACTGTTGGCCCTCAGATCTGGCCTGGCTCTTCCACACATCTGCATTTTTATCACCCCTCTCTCTGCGGCTGGTGTTAACATCTGAGGTTTTACTGCACCTCCGTGTTCCTCTCTGCCCTGGCATGGCTACTGAGGTTTCATCAAGTGCACAGTATTTTGACTGAATCATCGTTTTTCTCTGTGTGTTTTATATTATTCATGGAAAAAGAAACGGCTAGAATGCAACAGCTCATTAAGAATCAATTTGGCACGTGAAGCTGATTGAGATATGATCACATTAAAACTATATTAACTGAGCTCTCAAGTGTGCTGCTTCTGAATGATTCACTAATTCCCACCTACCGCCTGCATTACTATCAGGAATTTTCATTTCCTAAAACCCCTTTTTTGCCACCTCATGGTGCTGTTTCCTGCATGGCGGGCTGCACCTCCTCTCCTCAGGGTTCAGATAATGTCTCTGAGTCCCTCTGCTGCCCATCTGCAGCAAATGGAAAATTAAATGGAGACAAATATCTCAAATGATTGTGTGTGGTCCGGGGGAAAGGCACCTCTGATGGGTGAAGCGTTCAATTGGATGGGACAGCAGGTCAGATTGGGGCAGGCGGTTAAATTTCCGGTCAAGCGTCCACATCCTAGGGTTAGTTTTGAATCACAAACTTGGCTGTTGGTTAATCGCTCGGAACTCTCCGATGGATCGGTGCCATTTGTTACGTTGTTGCTGTAAAATGCCAGGTCTTTGGTGTTTTATTGACCAGTTGTCTCAGCGGTGGCCCCCTCTGATAATCTGCTTTTGACTTGCTGCTTTGTTGCAGACATGTTGGCATCCCGCCTCAGCGTATGAAACAAAGACAGGAGCAATGATTGTATGGATTATGGTCCCCTTTTTGTTTGTTTTTTCCAAGGAGGTGTCTGTCATTATTAACTGCAGCCTCATGTCTGTCTGCTGCTTCCTGGATGTGGACTGTACAGAGTATTGATTTCACTGGTCAATTCTTTTTCTCTTTCTTTTGTCTTTTAATAGCATCCAAAGAAGTGAAATGTCATCAGGGCGTCCTCCAGGCTGAGATCAGTCGTGTTGAAGATGGGAGGTGAAATCATCGCAGATCGACACTTGGAGCCTCAGTTTAGCACACAAACAGCAGAGATTCAACTATCAGGGAACAACTTGTTCTTTAAAAACATATACCATGCTATCTGTGAATAATTAACCCAATTTTTACATGAGAATCTTTTTAATGCATATTTTACTAGAACATAAGTCGTAATCTTATTTATCTTATGCTGGTTTGCTTTGTTTTTATGTTTGTATTTGTTCTGTTTTAATTGAGTTTTGTTTGCAGGGCTTTAGTGGGGTGTAGTCCTGTTCGATCAATGCTGATACAGTGGAAGTTTCTGCAGGAAAAACACCAAACGCAGTATTTTCTGTATGCTGTAAAACTTGTGCACTTCAGGCTGCATCCTGGTTGTGATGCACAGAACAGTTTCCACATGCTGCTGCCATGAGTTCAACTGCAATCTGTATTAATCATTTCCTAATTCTAGTTTCCTCTGCAAAAGATGTGTATTAATGACCTCCCATTAGTCAGACTAAACGCTCACACAGGCGAGGCTAATGCCGCCATCTACTGTCCAAACGTCAGAAATATTCTCTTCACTGACAACATCTGCTCCAAGGTTTTATGAGCTTTTTTGGAACCATTTAAATCAATTTAATGAAAACATTTCTAAAGAACAAGAAATCAAGATAGAAACGTGTATTCAGTTGCCGAATATTGGCATGGTTGATGATGAGCTTCATCAAGTGGTAAAAAAACAGGAGAAGAATCCTCTTCTTCATGTTAGAGACCAATCATCAGGACATTTGCCAATGAATGAAGGAGTGTTTGGTAAGCACACGCCATATTCGGAGCAGAATTTTCCAGCAATGACGACGCTGAAGGTTTTTTATAGCAACAACTGAAGGCTGTTACAGGAGCATTTCTCAGTTTGATGAAACACTTCATGTGTTCTTGAACTCAATTCAAAGCATTTGGGTTGATGACAAAAGCCAAATTTCCCCCACATCAGTACTTGAATGGTTTTATTTTTTTAACCTTGCAGAGGTGTGTTTCACTCTGGCACTTCCACCTTCTGCTTTTCCCCCTGTAGTCACATCACCGCTCAACTATACGCTTCATTTGGGACAGACCACTTATGATCAATGTCATTTATGTAACCGATAAAATCCATTAAAATCAGTTTGCAGTATAAGTCTCTGCGTCTCTCACTTCCTTTCAACTATCTCACTGTACAAACTCGAGCAGTGTAATTGTGAGTTCAGCATCAGTAAGCGTAGCAAGTCGATAAGCCACATCCAATTTAGACTGCACCGTGGTAGGTTGCACACTGGGGTTTCAGCTGATGGATCAGGTGAGCTGGTTGTCGTCCTAATGACCAAACCATCAATAACATTTCCACAAGGAGACTGATGGTTTCAGCTCTTTGTTATATAGACCAGTTGTTATCTTTAGAGGTTTTGCTTCACTGAAACTTTAATTTCTTGTTACTTACGACCGTGTAATGGATTTTACATCTCTAAGGAATGCCATTAAGATTTTGTATTAGCCCCGCTACCTCTCAAATCTCTTTCAAAGGCTGATGTGATAATTTAGCAGCCACAAACTGTGGCGGAAGATTTAATGAAACCTGGCACGTCTGGTTTAGATTGTGTAGATTTGGAGGAAGTGTTGGTCTAATAGGAACAGGACTGAAGGAGGGCTCTGCATTCAAAGAGGAGGTGCCACTGAGGTGTTTGAAATTCAGCTCTCAACTCTCCCAGCCTTGACTTGTGTGGTGAGATCTTGTCACTGAGTGTGTGTGGATAGACTTTCTTAAAAAACATCATTATTCAGTGCAAGTTTTCAGTGTTTGTCAGCCAGGGCCTTTTTTGGAGAACATGTCTCCATCAGATGAGTCTCAGACGTTGGATAAAGGTCTCTGACAAGTCTGTGTGGGCTTCTAGTGTTTATTTCACTAATGTGAGTGTGGGTATATTCACTGCTAAATAATGTGGGCTATTGCCAGTTTAAACAACAACATGTGCAGAAAAAGTCTTTATATAAACATAAAAGTGGCTCTTTTGACACCGAATGCGTTGTTTCAGTCGGTTGAGTCATCGATTTGAAAAAAAAAAAAAAGCCATCCACTTGCATTCACTGGAGGCCGTCTGCACTCCATCACATCTGAAGTCAAAGATGACATTCATGCACGCAAATCTGTAGATAAGAGGTTTAGAGCTTGGAGGGCGGCTTGCTGCGATGGCAAAAATGGCAGCGGGGAGCAGCAGTTGAAATATTGACTCTGGCTCCCAGAAATCCTGTGAAGTGACATCAACTGCAAACAGTTCGGTCATGTTTGTCAGTCCGGAGAATCTGTGAGAACTATAGTATATTGGGGAAAAAGTAACGCCTGCACACTTTCTACATGTCACACAAGTTTAATAAGGACATTCTGATCCTACTTTGATCTTCGTCATGTCGATATCAAACCATTTTGCTCTGATAGAGATCCAGTTATCAAACTTATGTGGCATCAAGTCAGTGTGTGGGTGTTTTCCTCATGTAAATTTTTTTTATAATCTATGTGATGTGCATATAATTATTCTCTGAGAACTACAGTGTAATACCAAAACACACCAAAATAATATGAGGCAAAAGATGAGTGGTGTTTGCTTACAGCTATTTAAGTGACAACTTTTAGACTTCAAACCGGTGACAGCTTCACCCCACACCAGAATTTACCCATGACAGTTACATGAACAACATGTTGGAGTTTAACATGGGGTCATGTGCCGAATGATTTCTTCGCCTGGAGCAGTCACTTTCTGGAGTACTGTCATCACTGTGAGGTTGCCAGGCAACTAGCAGAGGCGCAAGGAAGTCACTGTCACTGCAACTGTGTGTTGCCTCTTAACACATCCATGGTTTTTACTCTTATTTTTTTTTTTTGTACAGATTAATTACAGATTCAGTGTTACAGAGGGTTGTGCTAAGCTAAGCTAACTAGCTGCTGGCTCCAGCTTCATATTCACTGTACAGATATGAGAGTGGTGTGATATCGTATAACACTCAGCAAGAAAGAAAATGTGTATTCTTCAAAATGTTGAACTATTCCTTTAATGTGAATGTATACCATCTCAACTAACAGGAACAGGTTGCTCATATCTGTTACAGTCTCATTTCTTTAATTTTGGAACTTAACGATGGTTTCATTTTCTAATATTATTTGGGTTCCCCCCGAAATGTCAATGCTTCGAGTCATCAGCCGAGAAGCCCTCAAGACGACTGTCATTTTGTCAGTGTAATCACTTTATCAACGCTGTAAACTTTTACAAACGAAGCCATTTTACATTGCCTTAAAATTAGCCAAATTAGAAAACTGTGATGGAAACAGAGACGTGATAAGAACGTAGGGCAGCATGACCGGTTTCCACTCTTAATATCCCAATTCAAGTATTTATTTACTTGAATAGAATAATGTTTCCTGATATTTTCCTAATATTCTGAAATTCCTGTCTTGAGTTTAACAAGTACACACTAACACAAGAAGATTATTGTTGTGCTGCTCAACCCAGTAAGCACAGGGCAGTAATTACTTTCACCAAATTTGGCTGTAAAGTTTTTATAGTTGCTTGGGTTTTTAATACCACTGTTTCCACAGCATTTGTTTCTAAAACCTTCACTTTTCAACCAAATTCAGTCGAGTCTACAATTCCATGACAGCTGGGATCTGCTGATGACAATTATGTGACACAATCAAGAGCTCCAGAAAAGCTACAAAGACCTTGTTCAGACCGCCAGCCAAAATCTGTTTTCTGGCATGTCCAGATTAATTCTTAGAAAGTCTGGACAGCAAAAAAATACCACAAGAAATGCAATTTTTTTTTTCAAAAATTGAATCCAAACCACATTTGGAGGTGGTTTGAAATGTGCCTCCAATCAAATTTCTACAGATGCGTCTCAGTCCATACGCTCCAGCTGCTCACATCAGATTTTAAAGTGTCTTTGGTGTAATGTTACTGAGTCACTGAAGAAGACCTTTTCCTGTTGAGCTGCATGTGCGAGTCTGCCTCACCTTATGGTTTCAACACCAAGCATTTAGCAGGACTGATAAAAAAAACTGACACACTGGACACTATAACAATTAACTCTGGGGTTAACAATGCCGTATATAACTTCACATTGAGAGAGATGACTTAACTTTGCCCAGGAGCTAGTATTAACCTTTGCGCAGCTCTAATGAGGGCTGCGGTGCAATCGTATTCCTGTCAGAAGCATCGTAACCCAGGCTTGAAATGAGTCTTTTTGGATCCATAATGATAAATCTGACACTGAATAACTGAATTTGATTCGTTTGTAGTTCACCTCTACTCCTCAGGCTTCCGCATTGAAGCTACTAGGTTAATGATACCACGTCATGACCACAACAATCTACAGTGACAGTCTGGCGATGTCTGGAAACACAAATCAGATCTGATCACTTGCAAACAACAGTGTGGACGAACTGTCTTGAAGATCTGCTTGAGAAACAAATCTGGTTAGCCTACAGTCTGAATATAGCCTAACTGGCCGTGGAGGAACTGTTTCTCACATTTAGTCCAGCTCTAACCGAGATGTCTAGATGTCTTTTGACCTTCTAATCACCAAATTCATGCTTTCTGGGTGAGCTCATTTGCTATTTAACTTTGCTGGTGATTAATTCTTTCGAAAAGCGTTAACTTCTATAAGTTGTCTCTAGGCCACATTACAAAATAAAACATCTATGTTGTTGGAGTTGCTGGTTTGGTGAAGTAAATCTGTATCTGATCAAACATTGGGAGTAGACTGTTTCTCCTGATGAGAAAATGAATGATCCCTGAATCCATTAACTCTGTCCCACATTAACCAGTATGTTTGCTTAGAGGAGAGACCTGAGATTAAACAGCAATAGTGTGTGTGCCGTGATTTATTGTCCATGTAAATCACTGTGAGCAAATGAGAAGGTAAATAAACCTGCTTTGTAGCTGATTAAAATCCAGTATGTGTCGAGGACCAGTAATGACTTATAATGAAGAATAACTGCAGTCGTAATGCCAGTACAGATGTGGTCGTGTGTTACACATAGCCTATATATAAGTTAAGTGGGGTACATTGTCATTTAATTGTAGTGTAATTGATGCATTAGCCCTTAAAATTAAAGTATACAGAAGAAGCAGATTGAATGATAAAAGCAAATGAACCAGACAAAAGAAGTGTAGCTGACCTTCAGTGTATCATACTTCATGCAGTGTCATGTTATATAGCCTGGTCGTAACGGACGTCCACATTGATGTTCATTTTTACAGCATGTCCGCCACGCCTGGCTCATTATAAATAGTCCTGCAGCCCTGAATGTCAGCTCTGCCAGCTTTCACACTGGGACACTGTAAATACAGACTTTAATCTCACACCTGACATGTTTGAGTGAAAATGGACAGGAAGTGGCCAGTTTTCACAGATGACTCGTCATTATTTTAAAGAGGAATTATCCTCCTAGTTTCACAAGAGGGTGATGGATAGTATCTATTTTTACTTCTGGAAAAATAACGAGGTGTCTAAAATTCTAACAACAGTGTCAGGTGTGCAGAAAACGATCATTACACATCTGAAGGGTTTCACTCTTTGTTCGTCTCTCAACCACTCTGCACTCAAAAGGGAAGGAACATAATTAGTCCAGTATTGATTCTGAATTAAGTCGATGTAGCTGCTGTTCTGGGAAAACCACAAACAGCAACAACAGCAGCGGCGGCTGTTGATTTTATAGGTGGTAACTTATGTTAAATCATTTAAACCCACATCTAACCTGCAGCTGAGGTCAGTGATCTGAAAATGGGCATTTTGGGAAATTTGGGCTGTTTCTCTGTAATATGAGTCACAGTCTGCTGAAACGCTGCTGCCATTAAATATAATTATGTTAAGGCCGGAAGAAGAAAACCATACAGCACCAGCAGGGCAGAAGGTATAATCAAATGTACTCAACAAATGGCTGAAATAAATGTTCTAACGCCAAATCTGGGAAAACATACCAACTCTACATATGGCACTCTTACCAGCATTTCATCGTCATGATGAGATTCATCGATATAGCCACTGACCATACACATAATATTGTTACCAGAGGTGTAATTAAAGGTCGAGCACCTGCATAGTCGACATGACAACCAGCCTTTAAGTGCCTGCATCCTTGTTACAGTA